TTGATTTTGGTCATGTTGGATTTGACGCTGTGGGTGGATTTTCCGGAGTGTACGGGGTTGAGTTTGCTGTAGGGCTGTAGGGGTCGATTAGCAGGATGTCGTTGTTGTGTTGTGAGAACTCGGCGATGAGATAGCGCACGCTTTGTATAATATCCGCTTGAGGGATGCTGTTGACAAATCCAACCAGGTCGTGATTGAGGAATATAAGTTCCCGCTCTGGCTGTTCCTCGTTGGCCTGGAGTAGCTCGTGGACTTCTTGCCAAAGTTGGGGTGTTGCGATGTTCCCGAAGTGGTTCGGCCACGTAGCTTTGAGCATCTGCTGAAGGGCCAGCGCCGCGACTCGTAGAAGACGTCCAACGCATGTGTTGGAGTAGGCGATGATTGTGCGGCCCTTGCTCCACTGCTTTTTCCGCTTCATCATGATGTAGCCATAGGGTATGGGATTGTTGTAGTCGAGAAGCTTTTTATAATGCTTACGAACCGCTGCTGGTGTTTGCCTTTCCATATCTGCTTTGATGTCCTCGGGGCTTTTGTCCAGGAGGAGGAAGGTCTTCTTGTCCAGCCAGGTGTTGACCGCTGCTTGATTGTAGACGTTGGGGCAGTAGATCATGAGGTGGGTGTTTGCGTGGTCCTCGTTGTGGATGATGTAGTTCCGCGGTAGCGCGGAGATCAGGTGCTTGATGAGCCGGTGTGTGTGTGAGTCGATGTTCGTGCCGCTGCTGGTCTTCATGTCGCTGCCACTGCTCTTCGAAAAAGGACGCGAAGTTCTTGATGATGCGGTCGTCGTTGTGGAATAAATGGTGCTTGAGCCACTTCTGGAACTGATGCTGAATTTGGTCACGTATACGTCTTTTGGACGGGAAGAAAGCGTTGCATGCACCCACATCTGCGAAGGATGCGCCGAGGTTGGACTGGTGAAAGTCAAGCGTTTCCAGACCAGTAGCCACTTGTCCTTCGTGGTGCTCGGCTCTGGGGTGCTCAAGCAGGAACTCGTGGCAGTTACATGGCTCGGGCTTCCAGTGTCGTCCGCACGTAGTGGTCTTGCGCATGTGGTTCCACAGGACCTTGTTGAGCGCGGGGCGCGGCATTTCCTGTATGGTTTTCGTCGGGAGGTGGTACGGGGTGAGAACATGCCGATGTCGTCGAATGAGCTTGGAGACAAATTCCTGCACATTCTTCTTGAAGTCGTTGTGGGCGAGGAAGGGAATCTTGAGCGGCAAGTTGTGCTTGGGCACTGTGGCATTGCGAAATGTAAGAACTCGTCGAAGGCGAGCTCTGGCTTTGGACCGCCAGGGCTGTTCCATGTGGTTTGCCAGACGGTAGAGGAGGGTGACCGTCTCGTTGTCGTGCTTACCACTGCGGAGCTCCCGGGAAGCGTCATATTCTTGCTTGGTGTCGCTGGAGATGGCATACAGGAGCTTCCAGAACTGTGCTTGCTTGGGTAGAATATTGACTAATCGTTGCTTCTGTCCTTGTCGTCGTCTGCGAATCTTTTTGAACAACTGCTTGGCTAGGGTGTCGGGTGGCTGTTGTAGGTGAGGTTGTTGTCTTGTGGGCACTAAGCCGTGAGCCTTCTTGACGAGCTCTTTCGTAACGAAGGGGTAATTCAGCTTGGTTTGCCATCTTTGAATAAGACAGTGTTCTCCGGCCCAAGCGTCAATATACTCCTGATGCTGCGAAAGAAGCAAGGTGCTGAAGAGCTCGCAGTTCTGCTTGTCGTGCCAGTATCGAATGGCTATTTCGGTTTTGGGTAGCTTAAGTTGCTTCAGCTGCTTCAGCTTGGCGACTCGGTTGTACTCTCTCTTGGCCACGGTGAGGTTGGTGGATCCGACGTAGCAGAACGATGTGTCTTTGCTAATCTCGGGGTAACCGGAGTGGTTGAGCTTCGGGAATTTAAGTTTGACGTATACGGCACATGGCTGCTCAAACCGGCTGAACGTGTAGAGCTCGGGCACGACACCTTTTTCCCGAAGACGATCTTGTAGCTGCTTCGTTGCAGCGGCTGGTCTCGCTCTGTGAAATAAAAAACTAACTAAGTGAACTAGACCTACAAGCCAAAGAAGCACATCTTTACTACTTATTGACTTATTGCAGGAACATAGAACAACAGAAACTGCGCCCAGTCTACCACCTGTTGCAGCTGTCTGAAGACTTTGTCGCCGTCTCGGTGTGCAAGGCGTTGATGCAGTATAGTTTGCATCTTTCAGACAGCCAGGAAGGTGACTGCCGCGATGAGCTGCTGTAGGGTCCTGGGGGAGGCCGCCGTCGCCGTGGTGAGTGAAATTGGTAATCCCCATCGTGTGGCCATCTCCTGGAGCTGCGCCTTGGTGTGCTTGCCTTCTTCAAGCATGCTGTGGACTTGCTGGATGTGCTGGTCCAACTCCTGTGCTTGTCGGCAGGCATGGGTTTCTTGAGGTTGATGACCCACGTTTTGATGGAGGTCATGCTTGTCGGGGGCTGCTGTCCGCTCTGCTTGATGACGTTGAAGGGCTCCTCGAGCAACTTTTCGTACTGCTTCTTCCGGTCCCCACGCTGCAGGCGTCGTCGCTTGAGAGGTGGATCTTCTTCAGCGCTGTCAGGTGGAGGATGTGGCGATGGTGTCTGCTGAGAATGGCTTGGGCCCGAAGGTGGGGGCTGCAGTGGGAGCACCTTGGTTGGCGTGACTTCCATCCCAGCGGACTTCAGCCGCTGCTTGTACTTGGCCGCCTCTTCCTCGAGCTCTTGCGTGCGCTGCGCAACTTGGTTGTCTTGCTCGGAGTTCTTCCCATAGTTCTCGACTTGCGTCCATGGTTTCATGGCCAAGAAGATCTCCTCCACTAAGGGTGTGACGAAGTTGGTAGCTTCCTTGACTTTGTCTGGCGGCTTCAGGTCCTCGAACTTGTATATGGCCTCGCTGGTGGCGTCGACGTCGATGTTGTCCTCGCGGAGCCTCTTTTGTATCTGTGATAGAAGGACCGTCTCGGCGACGTTGCGAGTAAGAATAATTCCTGTAAATCGTCCATGAGAAAGAGGTCGTAGTCCATATTCTTCCATGCCTCGTCTGCTGAGGTGAGCAACTGTGACATCTCGAATGTCCATGCCTGCGAGTCCTTTGGCTCGGCTCCATGCGGATGGCTCGACGGTTTTCCTGAGCGTGGACTTGAAAACCAAGTTGGCGTCGTAGTGCTCTTCATCCTCCTTGAAGGTTGAGGGAACAGGTACACGAGCGGGGCTTTTATGTTCGGGAGGATTGCTGCGCGAGGGCGGTGCTGGCGGCCACGGAGCCGGAGGAAGTCTTGCGGGAGGCTCTGGCGCTGTCGGTGGGGGAGGCGGCATGGTCCACGTTGGTGCCGTGTGCGAGGTCTGAGGGGCCTGCCACCACGAGCTTGCCGCCCAAGAGTTCGGTGCCCACGTCTCATTCCACTGCGAGGCCATGTTGCGCGGGCGTTGTTAGCTTATGCTATCGGAACCTTAAACAACATAAGCTAACAGAAAGCAAGCGAAATTGAAGGAACAAAAGAAGCTGACAGAAGGTGCATCAGCCACTGCACTTGCGCAGCCGTGTTCACATTTTGAGTCTGCGCGCGCTGCTGCTGCAGAAAATAGCGCAGAAGAAGAAGATGCAGACAAAAGAATGCCGTTGCAGGTGAGGGGAGTTGCATGTATATGCAATATTGCTTGTCAAAACAGGACTTGTCGGCCTCCAGGCTGAATATTTGCTGCTCGGAGGTACTGGTTGATGAGGCCGCGGGCAGTAGAGGGTGGCCGCGCAAGCTGCTCGAAGGCGATGTAGTTGAAGCTGTAGCGGTTGCGACTGACGCAAAATGCTTTGGCGTTGCTGTCCTTCAGGACTTGGTCTTCTTGCGTCGCTGCGCGTGCAGTTTCAAACGACCCGCCATAGTGCTTGCGAAGGCTGCCCCATGCTTTGCCTCCCACGATGACCCCCGCCATGTTTTTTGCAGATTTATTGGTATTGTATAATACCCGGGCGATGCTATGCTCGTCCTGCTCGCCCCCGCAAAGCTCGTGCCCCAGCGCGTAGAAGATGTTGCAGTTGGATTGGGATACGCCGTGGGCATTCATGGGGAGCATGTCTCTGCTTTTCAGCATATTCCAGAGAGCTCCCGCATCTGTAGCATGGCACCAGAATAAAATACGTTCTGTTTTAGTAGGAAGAGGCGGGTCCTTGAGCGTCAGATCCGAGGCTGCCAGGTAGTAAAACCTCCCGCCGCATGGTTTTTTGT